TTGGAAAGAAGCAGCGCCTCCCTTGTCAGCTCCACTTGCACACAAGACGCTGCAGCAAACGCTCAACACTTGCAGGCAGCTAGCAGCACTCCACACGCTGCTGCTGCTGCTGCTGTGGATGGGAGAACAGGGCTAGGGTTTAGGGTTTAGGGTTTGGGGTTTACTCGGCCAACTGGAAAGCCTTGAGGCTGCCGTCTTTGCCCGCAGAAATCAAAAGGCTGCGGTGTACATACACCCGACAAATGCTGCTGTCGTGGGCTTGCCAGCTGCGCAGCAAAGGAGAGAGTTTGTGCTGCAGCGCGCCTGCTGCTGCTGCTGCAGCAGGAGCAGCAGCAGCAGCACCCGCAGCCTGCTGCAGCACCCAACCCGGCAGCAGCCAAGCTGTCAATACACCCGAGTCGTCGCCGCCGAAGAGAAACGAGCCGCTCCTGTCGCATGCGATGCACCTCAGCTGCAGCAGCAGCAGCAGCAACAGCAGCAGCAGCAATAGCAGCAGCAGCAGCGGAAGCGGCAGTAGTAGCAGCAGCAGCAGCACCAGGCACGCGAGCAGCAGGACGGGCAGCTAGCCCGGCAGCTGTGGCAAACTCTGCAGCACAAGCAGCCGCCAAGCCAAAGCAGCAACAGCAGCAGCAGCAGCAACAGGAGCAGCAGCAGCAGCAGCAGCTGACTATGCTGGGGGTGGACTGTCTGTACACCGCAGCGTTCTTGAGGAGGTTGAAGTAAACGAGAGTTGGCTTTTGCTGCAGCGCAGCAGCAACGACGCTGCTGTTGCTGCCGACGCAGCAAACTGCAGCAGCAGCAAAGGGGGGCCCCTGCCCACGGGGGGCCCCCTCAATACCTGCTTCGGGGGCCCCCACACAAGACCCCACAGACTGCAGCAAAGTCATTTGCGGCTGCAGCAGCGGCAGCGACAGCAGCTGCAGGCAGCTGGGGCCCACGCCCAGCAGCTGCAGCGGCAGGGGGCCCCCCGCGCCCGTCAGAGCCTCCATGCTGCTGCTGCTGCTGCTGCTGCGGTACTTGCTGCTGCTGCTGCTGCTGAATCGGTGACGCGGGAAGCCCTTAAGAGGGCAAGTGAGTGGAAGCAAATTGGACAGTTTGCCTTACGGTGACTCAGCAGCAGCTGCTGCTGCTGGTTTGTGCTGCTGCGGCAGTTGCTGCTGCTGCTCCTCTTGCTGCAGCAGCAGCAGCAACAAAACAGCAAATATACTTACTCTTTAGTTTCCATTTTAAGGGCCTCCAACGCCCCCCAGCGAAGTTCCCCCGCAAATTTCAATGCCTGTGGGGCCGGGGGGCCCCAGGGGCCCCTGGGGGCCCCCAGGGGCCCCACGAAGGCCCCTGGGGGC